GCTTCGGGTATAAGTTGCACGCAAAACGAGGCAATAATGAGAGAGAAGAGAAGAATTGAGCAACAAAACTCGGCAGCCCTTGAGTTCTATTTATAGGGGCTGAAACCCGGATTTACGCTGGGCGTAAATCCTTATTACGCTGGGCGTAATGCCTCTACAAGCAGTACGCTGGGCGTACGAAGATCTACGTGGGGCGTAGTTCGGATAAGCTTTGGTATGCGTGCCTCGAACTTCAAAAATTCATAACTTTCGCATACGAGCTCCGTTTTCGACGTTCTTTATATCCACGCGTAGGTGAGATTATGCTCTACAACTTTCGTTTAGACTCCGTCGGCTAATTTTGACTTTATTTTTAATATATTATTTTTAGTAGGCCGGGACAGGAAAACTCCGTTATAAAATCATAACTTCTTCATCCGACGTCCGTTTTCGTCTGTCTTTTTACCGTTGGACTAATAACGACGAGATCTTCGATTCTCGTTTAGATTGTTTCGGCCAAATATCACTCGATCTCAATTTCGAGATTTGGGTTGTATACCGCTAAGTCGAAACTTAGAAAAATCATAACTTCCTCATACGAAGTCAGATTTAGACGTTCTTTTTATGCACGCTCTCGGTTTAACGTATTCTACGAATTTCGTTTAGACCACTAAGGCTAAATATTGTTCTATCATAAATTCACTATTTACGTCGCGCTGTGTCGTGCCGTTTCTGTCGCAAAACTTCGACAGGTCATAACTTCTTCGTTATAACTTGGATTTCGGCGTTCTTTATAATGTTCCATCAAAAGTCATTTTTGACGCTTAACGTCTCTAAATTGACTAGTCCGGATCTATGGGCGTTACAACACTTTCCACGTATGTTATTTGAGAAAGTTCACGAGAGGAGTTCCCAACATAATTCCAATTTCTGAGTTAAGGATGGATGAAAACAAAAGGTTAATTGAAGAACCGGAGGCAATTGTTGACCGTAAGACTAAGAAGTTGCGACGCAAGATGGTCGATTTAGTGCTTGTGCGATGGAAACATACGAATGGGCCAAATCTCACCTGGGAAAACGGAGAGTGACATGATGAGTCGCTACCCACATTTGTTTGCTGATGTATGATTCCGATGACGGAATCATTCTAAGGGGGAGAGAATTGTAACGCCCGTGATTCTGGGCTAAGCATTAAAGACGATGTAATAGTCTAGGTCAACTATTGTAACGTGTTTTTAAGTAATAAGGATGAATTATGTGAATTTATGTGTCTTATGTTTAATTATGATGATATAATAAATTAAAGATAAAAATAAGTGTTGAAAGTAAAATGTTAGATATAGCCGATATCTATGAAGAAAGTTGTAGGGTTGAAACAAGGATTCCGGAGATATAAAGAATACTGAAATCCAAGTTATAACAAAGAAGTTATGACCTGTCAAAGTTTCGCGACAGAACCGACACGACGCTGTGTGATGTAAAAAGTGAATTTACGATAAAATGCTTTTTAGACTTAGCGATCTAAATGAAAGTAGTAGTATACATTAAACCGAGAGCGTGCATAAAAATAATGTCCAAATTTGACTTCGTATGAGGAAGTTATGAATTTTCTAAAATTTGGCATAGCAGTATGCAGCCCGGAATTCGAATTATAGATCGAGCGATTTTTAGCCGACACAACCTAAACGAGAATCGAAGATCTCGTCGATAGTAGTTTAACGGTAAAAAGACAGACAAAAACAGACGTTCGATGAAAAAGTTATGAATTTTTAACGGACTTTTTCTGTCCCGGCCTGTTAAAAATATAACTTAAAAAATAAATTCAAAATTAGTCGACTAAGTGTAAACGAAAGTTGTAGAGCACGGTGTCACCTACGCGTGGATATAAAAAATGGAGTTCGTATGCGAAAGATATGAATTTCTGAAGGTCGGAACACAAACTTCGAGGTCTGACCAAACTCACAACGTGAGCAAGTATGGCTCACGACGTGAAGTAGTTGATCGAAACCTCTCAATCCTAGAACAAACGCGGCAAGCCTACGAGCTGATCCGGACAAACTCACGACGTGAGCTTATATGGCTCACAACGTGAGTCGAATTTTCGACCTATAATTAGAGGGTCATCCCCTCTTGTTTCGGTTTACAGAAAAACGCAACCTCTCTCCCATATTGCTGAATTTGAGCTATTTTCCCGAGCCGACGATCGCTAACTACTGACAGTGTATAATCACGCTACTAAGGCGAGTGTATAATCACTTTCATCTTACACATAGATATGAAATATTTTATATAAAATACGTGCTATGTGTATATATATATATATTGTTTGTTTATGTGAGATGGATGTTGAATGAATGTTTTATACATGTTTAGAATGATTTAAACTGCATATGTACTTTTATCTACAAATGTGTTGGGTATAACATGGATAGATGAAATAGCTGATGTGTGATGAAATAAAATGATGAGAGACCTCGAAGTTGTTGATGTTACAGTCATCTAGCGGAGTATAGTTGATGACCATGGACTTTTCTAGACAGTTCGGTGGAACGCTAGCAGGCTCGTAACCTGTAGGTGTTTTTGAACTAGGTGTTCATTAAGTATTTTTGAACGGAGTGTTTACCAGTTATTTTGATTTACGTGTTCACCAGTTGTAATTTAAATATCCTGGCAGCTGCGCCTAATGGATAATATTGGCAGCTGTGCCTAATAGATACAATATAATCCTGGCAGCCGCGCCTAAAGGATAATATCTTGGCAGCTGCGACTAATAGAAAACGTCATAATCCTGGCAGCTGCGTCTAGATGATAATATTGGCAGCCGCGCCTAAAGGATAACATTGGCAGTTGTGCCTAATAGAGAACATTAGCAGCTGTGCTATTGGCAACGATGGATTTGTGCCTATTCCTTAGGACAATCCTTTGGAATAAATAAGTGAATGTTAGAGGATTCTTAGGGTGGAACCTTAAGAAACTGCAGAAGTATCCCTTAAGCAGTGTTGTTACCCCGATGATGATCCTTAAGCTAGGTTCCTTTTATTAGATGTTTAGGGACATAAAGTGAGGGTAACGGGAACGGATAACCAGGGTTATTATTGGTTGATGAAATTAATAAATTTATTGTTGGTTGATGAAAATTAATAAATTTATTTATTGTGGGTTGAAAACCCTATATGCTCGCCAGGCTCCCAAGCCTGACCCACTTAGCTTTTATATTACAGGTAGTGGAACAAGAGCATAGTTGGATGATGACGAGAGATTTTGGTTTATAGGCCAGTAGATGTAAATAACTGTCGTAAGGCCTATATCGTACTGTTTATGCTTTTAGTCTGTATCGGAACATGACATCCCGATGTTTTATAATATAATGAAAATACATTTCTTTAAGAAATGCTTTGATAAAATTTTTTATCATGTTTTGTTTTGGGGACAAATTCCGCAACACCTTTTGAAAGATTACTCTGATTTTATTTTAAAAAACATAAACGAAATCGGTCTTTTCTGACCGTGAAAATGAGGATGTCATATTTACGAGGCAAGCCAGACAGACTGAACGCTCATATGTGCATGCATTGTATGTATATTGTGGTGTGTAGTATTTTTGGGAACTCACTAAGTTTTGGTTTACAGTTGTAAATTAAATGTTTTTTAGGTATCATTAGTAATCTTGGGAAAACGAAGACGTGAATATACACACTCATCAATAGCCATGAAAATTATGCATTATTTATATTACTGATTTTTAGACAACTATAATTTGGAACAAATGAGTTTTCATAACTTTAGTTTTATGTAAATGTTGATTTTACCTTATTTAAAAATGACAATTTTGCTTGTAAAAATGAGACGTTACAACTTTAAATAAATACATTAGCTAATTAACATTTTCATTTAATATACTCTATAAATGAGAAAAAAAATATTCATTTTGAATTTTGAAAACCAGAATTTTAGTTTCGTTCCAAATTAAAATACCGAAAATCAATTAAGTGATTTCAAATTTCAAAAAAATTACTTTTTATTTAATACCTTATTTATAGATTTTGAGTTTAAATAAATAAAATAGCTAATTAACATTTTCATTTAATGTACTCAATAAATAAGCAAAAAATATTCATTTTGAATTTTGAAAATCGGAATTTTAGCTTCATTCCAAATTAAAATACCAATTATCCATATTTAATACATATTAACCGATAATCCATAAAAAAAATGAAATTTATCTATTAATTATGAATTTTGAAATAATTTAATTGATATATCGCCATTAATATAGCCTATAATCTTTTTATTTATTGATTAGGATCCGAAGTAATTTGGTATCTAAATTGTCCATATTCAATTTACTCTCTAAATACCATTGTTTTTGTTTTTTTTTAAAACGGGCGGGTTAGTATACGTCTGAGATAGAACCTAAGACTTCATTGTTAGTAACTCCTACTAAACAACTTATTAGTCTAAGTGGTAAGCTTGTTTTTATTCTTTTGGCTCACATGATTTTAGGTACTCATGGTTTTGATTTTGGGCACAGGAAATTTTCTCCTTCCTTCTTTTGATTTTGGGCACGGAAATTTTCTCCTTCCTTCTTTATTCTCTTATTCTTAAGTTTATTAATATGTATTTGTAATATCAATTATATATTATATGAAAATAAATATTTTTTTTTAAGATTATAATTCAAATTTATACTATTTTAACATTGTACTTTTAAAGTTTACAATATCATTCTACACTGAAAGTCATACATCATACCTATTCACCATTGTAGTTTCATATTTTCTATATTTCATCATATTTTAATATTAAATTTTTATTTTTATTTTATTTTATCAATATAGTTTAATTTTCTAACTTACAAACCCGTGTATATTATACGGTATTGTGAACGGCTATATTATACGGTATTGTGAAATAAATCAATAATATAAAAGAGATTATTTAGAAAAAACAAATCCCAGATGAATTTAGTTTCTTAAACGTGAAAGAAGGTTTTATCAGAACCACACGTTCCATTGCTTGATTCATTATTCGAGTCCTCCATCAATGTTACGTTCTTGTATCACGAACCTTGTCCCTTCTGTTTCTGTATTTGACAACACTTTATCAATCAATCAATTGAATTATATTTTCATCATACAAGTTCTACGGAAGCTCCAATATTATTCAATCATGGGGCCACAAATCAAAAATGGTCCCAACAATTACGTGAATCTGGACTACATTTTTCAGATATGTTATCTTCTTCGATCCAGCAGAGTGTGATGCTTCCAAGATGGAGAAGTTGGTGGAAGTGTCGGACCAGGTGGTATGCATCGACTTCGTGCTCGGAACCAAATGCAGAGCCACCGTCCGCCTCAGATCTCTCAGCGCCACCACCGCAATCGCCTTCAAAATCCAAACCTCATCTCCTCACAAGTTCCTGGTCAATCCACCGAGTGGACTCATCTCTCCTCTCTCTCAATCCACCTTCCAAATAATCCTCAGACCGCAACCGAAAATTCCTTCTACTTTCCCTCGCTCCGCCTCCGACCGCTTTCTCATCCGCACCTCCCTAGTCGGATCCTCGGTGTCGACTAACCCGGACACCATCACCTCCTGGACGCATGACATTAAACTGAAAGTCGCCTTCGTCGGTCCGTTCCTGCTCCGGCATGCGGTGAATATAGGTGACTGCGACGCTGTGAGGAGTATGTTAAAGTTTCAGAGGACGATTTTAACCGAGTTATCGATTCGTGAGGCTGAATCGCTCCACCGTGTGGCTGTCAGGTTGGATAATTCTGTTGAGATGGTGAGTTTGCTACTGGAGGCCGGGTTGAAAATTGAGTCAACAACTCGGATTTTAGAAGACGTGGAAGAATCTAAATGGACGCAGAAAGGGTGGTCGGAATTACACGTGGCGGCGGCGTTTGATCGGACAGATGAGGTTTCGAGATTGATTAAAATGGGAAACCGTAGGGGGTTGGATTGCAAAGATAAAGAAGGAAAGACACCGTTGTATTTAGCGGCGAGCAAAGGGTATGAGAGGTGTGTTAAACTGTTGGCGGGTGCAGGTGCTACCGTGGACGCTAGACGTATTGATGGTTGGACGGCGTTGTACAGAGCAGCAGCGAAAGGTGACCGTCGGATGGTAAAAGTGTTGATTGAACTTGGTGCAGATCCATCGATCGTCGCCGATAATCGGAATCGTTCCGCCATTGATGTAGCACGAGATGAGGGACATGTAAGTAGAATCAAAACATTCGTAAATTAAAAAGGTGAAAAAGAAGTCGTTATTTTTAGCTATAATTTGTCATTTGTGACGATGATGCAGAAAGAAGTGGTTGAAACCCTAGAACGAGGGGAGGAGGTGTTAAACGCCGCACGCCGGGGAGATCTGGGGCACCTAGAATTTCTGTTGGAGACAGATGCGAGTGTGGATTTTCGAGATCAGTATGGTTTGACTGCGATTCACATGGCAGCCATTAAAGGCTACAAAGATGTGGTGATGTTGCTGGTTGAGTTTGGTTCTGATCTGGAATGCACGGATGCGGAAGGGCGGACGCCGCTGCATATGGCGGTGGTTGGCGACGACAAAGATACGGTGGAGGTGCTGGTAATCAGAGGAGCAAACGTGAATGCCAAGTGTAATAGAGATGTAACGCCTTTACAAGTTGCTGAAGCAATGGGGAATGAAATTCTAACGCAGTGTCTCCTTCTCCATCAAGCTACTTGTTGATATTCATCATTTGGCTTTTAACTCTTTGCCGAACCTCAAAATTTGTTCAACGTTTAAAATCATTCCCACAATGAACAAGTTTTCCATCCTATCTTTAATGAAGAAGATGCTTTCTTTTATTTCATTAAAATTTTTCCCTCATTAAAAGAAACTCAAAAAACACAATTAACCATTTTTCACATATTTATGACAAAATAACTAAATATTTTGCTTAGGACTGTAAACCGGAACTAATGTTCAATGAACCATTTGGCTGAGAGTTTGTTTATATTTGTTTATTTAATAAATGAACGAACATGAACATTATCGTATGATTTGCTATAATACATGTATATATATGTATGGTTTTTTTACATTCATTATTTACATTTGTTTATGTTTATTCTTTTATGTTCATTTAGCACATTCATGAAAAAAATAATTTATTAAACGAATGAACATGAAAAGGAAATTCGTTCGTTTATACGTTCTTATTCGTTTACAGCCTTAACTTCCCCCATAAAAATTTCATCGAACTTTAATCATGGCTTCTCCATCCCAATAACACAATAGCAGGTATGACCATTTTTTTGGTATTGTTTTAGTTGTATGCTCATTAAGATAGTAAACTTATGTAATATAAGCATTGATCTAGTACTCAGGTCATGAGAAGGTAAGCTATAATTGTACGTCTTGTATAATATAGACACTTGGTCAAGATGCACCACTTTATGTTGTTTGGTGTAGGCATGATATCCTTGTAATTTCGTTTTGTTCATGATATATATAACATACGAGGCTATAAATGTATTGGACATTTGGAAATAATAAGGGTAGGATAAAGGTATGAAAACTTGTTGAAAAATGGCAAATATAGATTACTTGCATGACAAAAATCCTACACTGACTCAGCTCAAGTGCCAAACATAAGCCTATTCTTTAGCTGATGGGCTTTTTCAAGGCCCGTTAAGCCCCAAGAAAAAGTTTTGTGCCGCTGTAGCCCACTGAAAATGGGTCTTGTTTTACGGCTTGATTGATAGACCATTTCAACTCATTTTTGTTCATTCTTTGTTTATGAAGGGGGCAGCGGAGCGGGTTAATCTCTAGTATATTTTATTCTGATGTCTGGTGTTGAACTAGAGTTTGAAGTTGTTGTTAGGGAATGCTAAAACTAATGGTTCATATGTATATGGTATAGATAAATGTTTATATGATGTAATAACACTATTTTGATCTTTCTATATCCACTGGAATGAATAGAATCTATGAATTTGTGAAATTGACCTCAAAAGTCAATTGAAGAGGATTGAAAATTTGATATTTGATATTGTAACTAAATCATATGATGAATTAGAAAAAAGAATCACGTTTAGATTTATTTGGTAAAAAGTAGCAATACGATGAGAAACTAGTTGGTTAGTTAGTTAAAAGAGTAGCCCTTTTGTTGGCAAGTTATGTGCATCTATGATTAAACACGTGTGAGAATTACAATACACAAAGAAACCAAAGATTTTGTCCTAGAATCCCAAGCTTCAAAAAGAAGAAGAGTATATAACCCTTGACAAGAAACACAGTTGTAAATATGTTTTAATATGTGATGACAACTTATGATGATGTGTATGGGATGATTACTTTTAACATATATTATTTTATTACGACCACAAGAGGGGTATAGTGACAATCAGTCATGGATATCAAAGTTAGATCGTGTGAGATGCCATCATGAAATATACTCAGAATGATAACTTCAAGTTTAGGCAAGAAACGGGAAGTCAAAATGTCCAATTGACTAATTTTTTGTATAAGGGTTCGTTTTCAAAATTCAAAATCAGTGACTGAATACCAATGGCCAAATCAAACCCTGATGCTAAAAGCAAATAATTAAAAAACGCAAGGGAGTAAAATTTTGTATTATTTTCCTTATACGGATGAGCACATGGTTTTGAGTACATAAATATCTTTTCTACAGAATGAAAAATACCCCCAATTCAAGAACATTAATTCTACACCTTCCAGATTCCTTGTTGTCTTTTCTTACTTATCCCCATTCCCCACACCCCTCATTCACAAGTAAAATTCAACTGCTATTTCATATAAATAAACAAAAACCTGTCCCCATGAAATATGGATTTAACACTCCAATACCTCTATAAACTTAATACATGAAATTAAATTGGATTTTGGTTTACCTTTTAATTTTGAAAATATCAATTTGGACGCCAGAAACCTTTCCTAGCAACCAGAAATCGTTGCTGATGTAAGCTAGTTGACCAATGAAGTGAACGTAGAATTTGTCTCAATTTTTTTAACATTTCTTTACTATCTTCAACTATCACAACTCCACCTGGTCTTAATATGCGATCCATTTCCACTGCACTATCCAACATCTCACACCTGCAAAATTATATTATATATAAACCCACCCACAACTTTATTTAACAACCTTAAAAGAAAGAAGCTGATTATATTATATTATTTATTTATACCTGTGTGTTAGGTTGCCAAACAGGAAACTAGAATGAAGAAGATCATAACTTCTAGGATACGTATTGAGTGATTCACACCAATCATGGTAAATACCAATCAACCCTCTATCAAATATTACAGGCAATGTATCTGGCATGTTAACAGGGACAACATTCATCACCCATAGAGGTAGATCCGTCGAAGCAGCAGCAAACCTGACCAGGACTTAAAACATTTTAGACACGAAAACTCTGAGATTTAACCCATCAATTAAAATAAAGTAGAACTTAACTAACCCTCCATAACCAGCATTCATATCCATCACATTCCTCACATTTGACCAGTTTACCCCCAGGTTTTCAAGGTACACATTTGTAACAATTTCAGACCATTTTCTGGTATCCTCATGAAAGTTTGGTAAACCATCTGGTTTGGTTTTGAGCCTTTGGGGCCATGGTGTAGGCCATGTGGTTGTTGTTGGGATTCTTGAAATACAGCCATCAAGGGGTGTATACCTACACAAAAATGAAGATGATGATGATCATGATGATTATCATGATGATAGTTGAAAAATGATGTCATCTACCATGAAGTTTTTGCATGTGCATCCTCATCACATACAGGTGGATTGTTTACTTTACGTGATTCATAGCAGGAAGAAGAAACAGGCTTCTCATATATAACCAACCCTATTCCAGAGGAATCAAAGCTTTTTGCCACTACTTTCCAGCAAATAGATTCAGTCAGAGCTACCATGGCTGCAGGAAATTTAAAAGAAAAAAACTTAGGATAATAATTTAATGAAACTATATGAAAATAAAACAAGTTTAGGGCAATTTGTATACACACATTCCCAAACTTTTTTATCTCTTTCATCATCACGATAGACTGGTGTAGCAGACCAGATAAAAACACCCCCAGGCCTTAGAATCCTGTTTAACTCCAACAATGGTTTTCCACCTGTAAATTTATTAGCCATCAAGATTTATTTTTAATGGTTATAAAAAGAAGAAAAAAAAAAGGTAGAATGAAAGAAGTACCATCTCCATCCCAGTGCACTCTGCAACGTGCACAGTGAATCAAATCAAAGGCATTATCAGGGAATGTGAGTCTTTGAGTTCCGATTACTGAAAGAGTGGCTGGAATTCCTCTTTCCAAAGCAAATTGTATTTGAGCTTCATGTTCATCTTTTGGAGCAAATGACATTGTTATCACATCTTTGTCTAGTAAATATCCACCAAAGCTAGCAACACCACAACCAACATCAAGAATCACCCTTGTGCGTTTTCCCCAACCAATTTTTGGCAGATTCTACAAGAAAACAAAAAAGATAAACATCAAATGAAATAAAGTAGGTAACTTGATACTGTGGAATGTTACCTTTTCTATGTATTGGATGTAATGAGTAACTCCTTCCTTGAATTGAGTGCCTCCACCAGGGAAAAGAAGATATTCACCAGATGTTTTCACCCAGTTTTGTTCTTTCTTGTATTCAACAAGCTTAAGGTGTGGGACGTTGTCAAACCATATCTGTAAAAAAGGACAGCAAGTTTTAGTTTTTGTTAAGGCTGCCTTCAAAACAGCATACCATAGTTTTTCCATATTTTGGGTTTTCATGTAAATCTTGGTGTTTGTTGCTCTCTTTTATCTTTTTGCTAACATGTGCTGTAGCACTGTTAAATATTAATAATCCTATATGTAAAGATGTCTATGCCACATTACCATCAAATCATTATATATCTGAGGATTATTTGGGATATTGCATTTTCAAAATACTTATAGCTTTGTTGAGAAACATTGAATATTTGGGATTGAATGTACTTATGTTCTTTGGTTGTTCTTGCATTACAATGGGAATAAAGAAAATGTTTTTTTTTTGAAAGAGAGGGAATAAAGAAAATGTTTATCAGCTTCAATATGATTTACCCCCTAAAATCAAACTCAGCATGAAGAATTCTATGTCCATGCCTAGTAAATAAGTTCATTTGGGAAAATGTGCAAATAGCAGGCCAATTTTTACTCTACGTGAACAATACCAATGTCTCAGCTCTTTCAATGCATACTTATGTTAAAAAAAAAACATTAGATTACTTTTTCCAATGTAAAAAATATTATAATCAACATATTGAAAAAAGTATCTGCCTCCCTCGGTGAAAACTTTAGTTGGGGATTAAAATATGCTAACCTACTCATGCAGGTCTGCAGGAAACTTATTTGTGTGGTAATATAAAATCAAGTCCAGTGGCGAATCTGCATAAAATTGAGTGCTTGCAGGACTATTTATTTACTGCATAAATAACCTTAACAGATCTGCATATCATTTCCGATCACAAATAACCCTAGTTGAATAACATTCACCGGACAACTTCTTTAAGCAACATTCAAATAAAGGTTTTTAAGTAACATATAGAAATAAACCTTACCAAAGTAGCAATCTCACCATGTCCCTACTTTTAGGCCAAGGAACTGGCACCTTGTATCCATCAGGCAGCGGAATCAAACACCGAGGGTTAGGTTTTGGGCAATGTCGTTCTCGATGCTCCATATGCCTTCTCGATTTCAAAGATTTTATCGCCTTCCAGTTATCCAAACACGGTATGTAATCCACCGCCAGTGGACCTGGACATGCCTTCCAGTCGATTACCAAGTCCTCACCACTATCACTATCATCCGAATCAGGATCTACCGAACTATTGCTAATCTTACCATCTATTTCTCGTAGAGGGGGCGTCCGCGCCTTGCTAGGGATGTTTTGTGAGATTGAAGGATGAGTAGAAGATTGAGGGAGATGGTAGAGAGGAGGTGGTTGGGAGGTGTTGGTGGTTAGGACGAAGAAGGCGACGAAGAGGAGTAGGAGGAGGAGAGATACAATGAAAGGATACCTGCGTTCTTTTAAGAGGTTTTGCACGGAAATAGCCATTGTCGGTGACTCAGATACTGTTTCAGATCTACAGAAACGGAGGAATCCGATGATCGGAAAGAAAAAAGAGAGTGGCACAGGCACAGAGAGTGTGAATGCCTTGTTTTGGGGTTTGGAAAGTGAGATCGCGGTAAATGGTCTTCAGGGATTTAAAATGCAGTTAAAGTAAACGTGACGTCTGAAATCTGATCGAGAAAACCTGGGGACAGAAAACAGATTTTCTCCATTTATGATTTTGCCACGTGTAGATACTTTAACGATTGTGATCAACCAGAATAAAGCTAAAAAAAAGTTTATTCAAAAAATTAATCGCCCACCGTGGGGCTCGAACCCACGACCACAAGGTTAAGAGCCTTGCGCTCTACCAACTGAGCTAGACGGGCTGTTGTTGTTTAAGATTTGTCATTAAGTGTTTTAAAACAACATAAATAAATTTCAAGTTTTTTTATTTTCTAGATTCTAGCTTCTGCATATGCTAAACTGTTTCCACTTACTTCAAAGTTATTTTTATGATTGATGGAAAATTATTCAAAATAGTCGTTTAAAGATTCTTAAGCTTTGTTGATAATTTTGACACATGACCCACCATCAATAGCCCGTCTAGCTCAGTTGGTAGAGCGCAAGGCTCTTAACCTTGTGGTCGTGGGTTCGAGCCCCACGGTGGGCGTTTTCACTTTTTATACAATACAATCCCCCGATTTGTTATTATAACTAATAGTTGAATACCTGAATGAACACATTTGGGGAATGTATCACCTACTCACTCATATCACTGATGTGATTTACTAAACTTTTGGATCAGTAATTAAATTTATAGAAAGGATAGATCTTATGCAACAATTTGCTTACTTTTTTTATACAGAAACAATAATAAGGTTAATGAGGAGTTTATAAAGTAATAAATAGACTGTAAAATAAAACCTCTACTTTATGCAATGTATATTTCCACTAAAATGTATAACTTAAAGTAAAAATAACACAAACCCGTTGTTTGAAATTAATGAAAAACCTAAATATGTCACATGATGACATGAAAATGTGTTACCTATTTATTTATAACGAAAATAAACTTTATACATTTTATGGCTATTGTTCTATTCATATTTTACTTTTATTTCATTATGTGTCATTATACATTTAGCTTCTCATTTAAATATAGTTTGCATTTGTTTTTCATTATAAGCATTGAATGTTGTGTGGTATGTGAACGTTTTAATGCTTTATATAAAAATTTTGCAGGTTTTCATGTTCCATGATGAAATATGACCAAAAGAAGATAAGCAAGAAAAGAAAGAAAGAAAAGGCCAAAAGGGACAATGGGTGAGAATGACTCAATGGGTCATGAAGGAAATAAATGGCTTAGAAATTATTTAGCCCAGACCCGTGTCTACTACACAAAGGGCCCAACACGGTTTTTATCATTATAATAAATTTTAAATAGGAAATTGAGTAATTCAATTAAATTTGTAAGACATTTTAGATATAATTGTTGCATTAAGGTGTCTAAGTCACTAACTAAATTAGTATATTATTGTAAATAAAAAACAAAGTTTTTTTTAGGTTGTCATCATAACTAGAACTTGGTTAGAATAACATTTATAAAGAGATGATGATTTATTAGATTATTATATAATTAATAAATTAATTGGAAATTATAAGCAAATAATTTGTTAATATATTATGTTTATTAATTGGAAATAAAAAATTGATTCGTTAACTTATTATGATTAATAAATTAATATGAAATCAATTATAATTAATTAATTATTAATCAAAATTAATTTGACATTAATTAACGGTCCAAAGGTTGAATTATAATTGTTCATAATTGAGCAAATAATGAAGATTCTACAACCATATAGGTAGTGAACGAAATTAGGAGGGATTTTAGGGTTTCCACAAGCCTCTTGGTGGTAAATAAGAAAATGATTTGAATTGAGATTAAATCTATTATTTAATCATTCAAATTTTGTTGTGTCCCTAAGTTACCTAAACTATAAATAGGACCCCAAGGCCTATGATTTTTGTTCATAAGATTCCCTAGAGAATACTGTGGCCGAAAATATCCTCTCCTCTCTCTCTCCTCTTGTCTTCTAGTTCTAGGGTTTGGGTGTGAGCCATTAGAGGCATCATCCTTTTGGTGCTAAGCTTTCCAAGACCTACATTACAAGGAGATTGAAGTGATTTGTTTACTACAACAAATTAAAATGTATGTAACTCTATACTTGGTAATTTCGAATTACACTAGGGTTAGGCTAGTTTAGTTGTTCATTGCATGTCGCATCACCTATTAAGTGTTAATTGTTTTCCGCATTGTACTATTTTGTTTTCAATAAAACTCATAAGTGGTATCAGAGCTTAGGGTTGTCAAACATTGATTGGACATGATATGAATCAGACTAAACCTTTTTTTTCGAAATAGTGATCTTACGACGTGAGCACAGTTTTTTCCAGATTTTCGGTAATTATCTTCCTAATCTGATTTATGGTGTTTATTTTGATAATTATCCAGTATTGATTATGTTAGATTCCGAATTTTGAATGCCTTGTGTGATAATCCTTAAAACCCTAAATATTAGGATAATATCATTATTTGATAATTTTTAATTAGTTATATTAAATTGAATTATCTCCTGTGAATTTAATAATTAATTTAATAGTAATGTAATTAAAAGATAATTATAAATTCATAATATGTTTAAATTGATTAATTAATTATATGATAATCTAGATAATTAATATTTAGTACCTCGTATTTTGAAAAAATTTAAAATACGCCTTATACTATATATGATTAAAAGTTTAATATATTATACGTTTAAGACAAGTCAGTCGAATCATTAGTAGGCCTCATTTTACGAAGCCATACTCTAAGGGAGTATAAGGATATCAACCTATAAAATGATCGTTGAATGGGTATCCACTCTCACCCACCGCTGTATGGTGGAGGGTCGTTAGCCGAACGAGTTTGATAGTACATAACCTCTAAAAGTATGATACTACAAAGTAACTAAATCTTTTAAAAATCTCACTCTAGTTACTTTAGGAAAAAAATGAAATTGTATGTTAATCCATAAAAACGCACATCGTTTCCTTATGAGTCGTTAGTGAAGCGTGTATGGTTAACCGACATACTAATTTTGGGACTATAAAGGTGAAATGATGAAACAACTCGTGTTTATTATTGTTGATGGAGCGTGTGTGGTTAACGGAACATCAATGGGAGATCATAAATCGATCAAGGGTGTTTAAGCGGGTTTTCATGGTTATTCACATCTTAATTATGATCACCGGCATCCCAGTCACAATTGGTAAGAGCATAATCGAGATTAAACATGACATTGATAAGATTTAATGAATCTCAAAGATCTAGGAGTTTCATGTGATTGAAATTGGTGAGATGACTCTACGTACCTAAAATAGATTTGAATTTGATTACGACACCCCTCTTCAAAGGTCGAATCGAAAATATGGATCCTAGCCTTAATTTAAATTTTGTGTTAATAGTTAAGGATTAAATATCAACTAACTTGAATTCTCTCTTCTCCCAAAAAATTTAGATGTTAAATCGAAACAATGATGGTCTTCCTCGTTCTTATGGAAATGGTTTTCCTCAATCTTCTGGAGATGGTCTTCCACATTTGAGTCAAGGTGAAATTGTTTTCCCTTCCTTAGAAAATGGTGGAATTGAACATCGTCCTCATTTAACTATTTGAGCTACTCCTCATGTGACTCTCCCAATGTCATGTTTTCCTCGAGTTGAGAAATATGAAACTACTCAAGCCTTGTTGGCATGTAAACATGAAGTTGGAAATTATGTGTGTGCGCACGTTATGAAAATAAAGTCGTATATTAACAAATTGGAAAGAATGGGTATCGTATTCCCATGGGAGCAAGCCATTGATTTGGTTCTTCTTTCTCTTCCTGAGTCATATGGCCAGTTGATGGGTGTCGAATCCATCAAACAAATAAATCCTATTTGCACTCATATGATTTAATAGTAATAGTGGCAAACAAGGTCGATCCTCGGAGACTCGGTTTTAATCCATAAATACACCAAAATAGTCATGTTTTTATTCCTATTGCATAAAAAGTTAATACGGAGGAGGATTTTGAAAACGAATAAAACTAAATTGAAATATGGTAAAAGGAATACTAGAAATAAAAATAAAAACGATCCGGTTTCGAGTTCTATTTTCCTAATGATGCAAGCTACTAATGATTGATGTCAAATTGAATTCTAATCTAAGTTGGTACTTGGAAACATTAACAAGCTCTAACACTTCTCATTCACCAAATTGTTTAACCAAAACAAACTCTTTGAATTAAACCTAACCCTTCTAATCTAATTTAAACAAGCTCTTAGAGTTAAACTGAAATATTGCATTAAGTTTTGTGTGAATGTTCCCAACAACATCCAACACTCCTCACAAGCTCGAAAGCGTAAGAATGTGTGATTTTGGTTTACATTAAAAATCGTTATATGGAAATCAAATTAATGTTTGTTACTTGTTTTAATTCACAAAAAAATTACGGATTTTGTAAATCAAATAACTTGAATGATCTAATCCTAATTCAAGTGGCCAACATGAATTAAAATTAAAATCAAACTTTTTTAATCAACACAAAACCAAATTCACCAGATAGAATACAAATTCAACATCAAATCATATGATCAACTACATAAAAAGGAAATTGAAACTACAAAACCGGATGTGTTAACTAAAATACGATAAATAAATACTAAAAAGTACTAACTAGTTGATGATTGAATTAACATCAAAAGACTTATTTAGACGTGTGATCATGGATTGTTATGTGCAATGATTTTTTATACAACTCCTAGTTTGGTCGCGGTTGTCAACAAGCTCTGACAACCCGTTTCGCCAGACACTCGATTAAAACAAGCTCTTTAACCAAGCTGCGAACTTATCTAACTAAAACAAATATTTCAATTAGAACTGACTCACTACAAAATTATCAAACGAGCAATTTGTAATTAGGTGAGAGCCGCATTAAAACACAAACGAAACACCAAACACAATGAACTCTCACGTAAGCTCAGAGAATTTACATTGTACCAACATGATTTCATAACACAAATGTATTATTTGCTACTTAGACCAATTAAAAGAACAATAACGTATTCGATTAA